GATATATGATAGGATGAATGTAAAACTAATGCTAATGTTCTCCCATGTAAACTATCACATAATTCACAATAAAACTTTTAATAATAATTTTTTTTAAAGCTTATGCTGTAAGTACAACACACATACCATCAAAATCATTTTCTCAGAGGCACAGGCTGTTTTTGTGCAAAGGGAGTGTAAAAGATGAATCTGCTGATGCCTTTCTAGTCAGTCACAGAGGTGTCAGTTACTCTCTGAACTCTGGGTGAGGCCTCACTGCCTTTGTTGACTGTTGGTTGTTGTTTGTGAAGCAGAAATATCCTGCCAACTCCCACCTGCCTGGTTGGCAGCAGTGCTTCTCCACCCTGTAACTGGTCTAATTCTTTTTGCCTTCTTAGTGAGCTTTTCAGAAGCAGTTCTATTTCTTTTGTCCTATTCTAGGTCTTGATTAAGAGATTCCGAATAGGAACAATCCCCTACTAAGCAGGTATTGGTATTGAGTAATGTCCTGGCCAAGCAGGTTTTGCTCATGTAAAACACTTAGCAGAGTCCCTGGGTCTTGCAAACGGTTAAACACTTGGCTGCTAACCCAAAGGTTGGAGTTGCAAGTCTACCCAGAGGCTCCTCAGAAGAAAGACTTGACAATCTGCTTCCAAAATATCAGCCATTGAAAACCCTATGGAGTACAACTTATCTCTGACACACATGAGGTCACCGTGACTCAGAGTCAATTCAACAGAAACTGGTTAAAATGTTTAGGACCCTGCCCTCCCAAGTGGCTCAGCAGATGGCCACCTGGATTTCAGTCCAGCTTGGACATGTGACTTAACTTCTCTGTGCATGGTCACCATCTCTGGAAACAGGGACAGCAATATTACCTGTTCATATTGCTCTGGTGGGGATTAAATCAGCTGGTAGAATGTTTAAAACTGTGCTCATAATAAGTAACTTAATTTGCTAGGCCTGCTGTAGCAGAAGGACCGTTAAGTGGGTGGTTCTAACTAAACAGAAACTGATTTTCTCACAGTTCTGGAGGCTAGAAGCCCCAACTCTGAGCTCTGGCTCCAGGAAAAATCATGCTCTCGGTTTCCTCCCACCCCCACTTCCACCCCCTCAGTCTGGGGAAATTCCTTATCTCCTTCAGTTTCTGCAGCCTGGTGTTCCTGGGTTCTTGGTCTTTTCCTTGATTTGTGCTCTCCTCTGCATCTAATTTGCTCTTTTTATATTTCACAAGTTTAGGACACACCCTACATTGGTAATGCCTTCATTAACATGACAAAAGAAATCCTCTTCTCAAATGAGATCACATCCACAAGTGTAGAGGTTAGGACTCCCAACATGTGTGTTGAGGAACACCATGCATTCCATAGCAGTAAGAGCTACAAAACTGTTCACTATTTTCATGAATGTTAATTCCCCAGCTAAAGTTGTCGTTGCCACAACTCAAGTTCTTAGGTTTACGCCTCCTGCTCATCTAGTCCATACCAACTCATAGAAAGACCCTATAAGAACAGTGTAGAATGCTCCTTAGGGTTTCGGAGACCGTAAATCTTTATGGAAGCAGCAAACAGCCTTATCTTTTTCCCTGGGAGCAGATGGTGTGTTTGTACTGCTGACCTTGCGGTTCACAACCCAGTTTATATTGTTGTTGCTAAGTGCCATCAAGTCAGTTCCAACTCATTAGGAACCCTGTATAGGGTTTCCAAGGAGCAGCTGGTGAACTTGAACCACTGACCTTGAGGTTCAAACTGATCTTGTGGTCCTGTACTTTATTCCACATTTTTTTGTTTGTTTTTTAAAAATCAGGACTCCAATTGTTTATATAGTTTATGTATATGCCATTTATTGATTTTAAAATAGATTGATTCCTAGTCTTTGACCATTTTCTTTTTCATTGCAGGGCCGCAAGTGGTTGAGAACTTGTTTCTGGAAGTGATCAGGGCCTTCTATTCTTACTGCAAAGATGCTCTAGGCTCAGACCTTCAGCTGAGCTACACACAAAGTGGAAACTCACTGATTAGGTGACGTATGGGTTTGGCCAGTCTTCCTCCCTTCCTAATGCCATGCCTAGTTTTTCTCTGTTGCTTACTAACTAATCAGACACGATGCTCTGACTAACCCTGTTCACAGTGCCAGCTGTACAAAACCTGTGAAGGGAGGCCAGTCCAAAACTCTCAGCTTTCTTTCCCCGAGCAGTCCAGACCCCAGCTGCCCACACAGTCCTTTCTCTTTCACTTCCATTCACCGAGGCCTAGGTCAGTGGGCACTGGCCCCTTCTGTATTTAAGATTTAGTAATCCCTTGAATGAGTCTGATGTGGCGCTGAATGATAAGCACTGGACCGCTGTCGGGGTCTGACCTCAACATAGTTGTGTTGTTCACGAGTGTTGGTTCACGAGGAGGGGAGATCCAGAGGCAATAGGGATAGCGAAAGAATACACAGACAAACAGAAGAAGGGAGACAATGAGGCACCCCAAAGCCAGGGTGGATACATCACTGGTGGGCAGACTTGAGACTACAGGCATCGTGGCCTCTGCAGGCAGCAACTCACTGCCCTTCAATCTTTATTGCATGCCCTCCATCTTGTAATGCACTGCAATCTTTACTGCATGCCCTCCAACCTGTAATACACACTTGGGCTGGCCCGGGACTCTATTTTATTTAGGGGAGGAGCTTCACACCAAGCTGGGAGGGACCAAGGCAAGGTACAGTTAACATCAGTGCTTTTCCAGACATTCAGGTAACTTTACATCGTACTTCCGCTGGTTCGAATCCCAGGCCAGCAACTTGGTTTCTCAGGCTCAATTAACATATCTATAGCCCCTGAGCTCAGTTGTGGGAAGGTGAGAGGGAAGGACAAAAGGCTTGGGCGGAGTCCTGCTGCTTTGGCTTCCTGAGCCAGGTTTTCAGGAACTTGGCTGAATAGCTAACACTTGGGAGAGATTCAGGGAGGGTGGCTTTTTTGTCTGTAGAACAAAGAACTGTGAAGTAGCTAAGACGTTTTTAGTTAATCCTTTGGAGGAAGGCTTGACCTTGCAACCTTTACAGTCTGGGCTTTTAGGAAAATATTACATTTATCTGTGTATATCAAGGACTTCTTGTCTGCAATTAATAAATATAACTGAACACTAAGATGAAAAACAATTTGCTATTGACTGCCAGTGGCTTCATTTGTTACACTCAGGCCTATAGGGCCTCGAACCTCTGACCAACCTTACACAGTCTGCAACAGACCACAAGGTTGGTTTGAACCAAAAGATCAGTGGTTCAAACTCACCAGCCACTTCTCGGAAACCCTATACAGGGTCGCTATAAGTTGTAACTGATTCAACAGCACTTAACAGCATCCCTTGAAGGAGCCCTGGTGGTGCTGTGGGTTAAACATTAGGCTGCAAATTTTTAAAAGGTCAGTGGTTCAAATCCACCAGCTGCCCCGTGGGAGAAAGATGTCTTGCTCTATTAAGATTTATGCCTTTGGAAGCCCTAAGCAGCCATTCTGTAGAATCAGTATGTGCCAGGATTGGCTCAATGGCAGTATGTTTAATTTGGTTTGAACCCCTTGAAATGACTTATTACAAGAAAATTTCCCCTCTTAAAAAAGTTACGGTGATAAAATATATATAACAGAAGTTGCCATTCAAGCTGTCTTTACTTGTATAGTTCAGTGATGTAAATTACATCCACCATGCTGTGTCTTTATCACCACTAACTACACAGCTGTTTTGTTTTGGGTGAAAATAAACAAAACACACCACTTCAACAAGTTCTACATTTATAATTCAGTAACGTTGATGACATTCTTCAAGTTGTGCCACCTTTTCCCACAATCTTTTCCAAACTAGTTCTCCATCACTGAGACAAATTCACAGAAGAGAAACACTGGATTGCTAACCTCCAGGCTGGTGGTTCAAACCCACAGGCTTGCTAAGCTTCTCATCTATCCTTTTGAATTGCTGGTGTCAATTTGACCACACTGAGATTGTTCTTTAAAAGAACGGCATGCTTAACACAGACATTCTTTTCTAACCAGGCTAAATTATAATTTGGTCCCCAGATGACTTCAAGGTCCTCAGGGTAACACTCATAGTTTGGTTGGGGAGGAGGCATTATCCAGAAAGTCTGGATTCCATGAGGTTTTGAAATTCTTTTCCTTATCTACCATCCCATCCCCCCTTCATTTAGCAGGAAAATGGATACAAGCTGAAAAGACCTAGACCCTGAGCTTCTATGTCTTCACTCACGGAGCGCTGCTAAGTCTTGTTTTCCAAGGCCTTTATTGACCTCGCCATGTAACCATGATTGATGCCATCAGACTATTGAGGCTTGGTCCCTATCGGCCCCCAGTTGCTCCCTCTTGGTCTGGTCAGCACCAGCTCATCTGCCTCAGGTTTCATCCTCTCCCAGGAACCAGGGCCAAAGGCCACATGTTTACTTAAAGGAAGTTCCACACCACCTAATGGGCACACATTAACATAATCTATGCTATTAAGTTTATCAGGAGTCCTGGTGTGGTGCTGTAGGGATAAGCACTAGACTGCTAACCACAAGATCCACAAGATCGGTGGTTCACACCCACTAGTTGCTCCTCAGAAACCCTATACAGGGTCAGTATGAGTCAGAACCAATTCGACAGCACTTAACAACAACAACAGTAAGTTTATCAATATGCATTGGTTCTCTTTTTTTTAATTATATTGTGCATTGGTTCTTTCCTATTGCATATTGTGAAGAGTTTAAAAGAAGTGTGACCCTAGTTTCTGCCCCAGCCTGAGATGTACAGTGTTTATTGATCATTTACGACTGTTATTCAACCAAGAGGTAGATGGCAGGTAGGAAGGAAGAGAGAGGGAGATAATTCAGGATATGGAAGCAGGACTAAGTCTCCAGAGAGAAGTCAAAGGGGAGAATAGGGGAAACCAAGGAAAATGTATCCCTAGGGGCAGAGTTGGGATTGGGGGACAGCAGGCACTGGGATTAAAGTATGTTGTTGTAAATGCCATCAATTCAATTCCAACTCATAGCAACCCTATATAGGGTTTCCAAGGAGCAACTGGTGGGTTAGAACTGATGACCTTGGGATTAGCAGTCCTGTGCTTATCCTACAGAGCCACACCATGATTTATA